AAAAAAAATTAGAAGTGCAGATAAATATGAGCTCGTCAATAACTATACATCATCATTGTTTTCAGCAGAGGAATATGAAATATTTCAGATAAGTAAAAAGTCTTAAAAATTTTAGACTAATTGTTGTAATAATACCTTAGATGTTAGATATATTTTACAATAAAGGGGATTACTATTCGTAAATTATTATTCATATTTCATGTAAAATGAAACAACGTAATAGTATAACATTTAGAAAAATATCTGTTTTATAAATATATAATAAATAGTTGCAAATTGTGTAGTATAAGAATTTGCGCGCAACACTAGAACCCAAATATGAAAATTAAAGTCGGGTTTAGAGGTTAATCAGACATTTATAGCGAAAAATATGGTCAGAATCAATTAGATATGAATTTGCAACACGAAAGTACAAACAATTTAAGGGCCAAGGTCATGTATATATTCTTTAAATTATTATATTATCCAAAATAATGTTTGGGGTTAGGCCGCGCAAAAATAATTTTTCAACTTGCATTGCATGAAATTTGAAATTTGGGTCAGTTGTTGATTTTTTTTTTTGTCGGTCCTATCAGATATTCTGGGAAATTCAAACGGCACTGAATAAAAACACCTGAAAAAAAACAAATGGCACAATTAGGACTTACAACTGTTTTCATAATTCTGGAACATTTGATAAAAAATTAGCTGAATAATTTTTTGGTCGGTTAAGTTATTGATTTCGACATGATCGGTATATATTTTTATATTACAGGTGATGCTTGTTCCGTAATCCTAAAATGCACCTATGGTGCTCAACACCATGTATATATTTTTTACTATATTTATTATTGTAATATAATACTTCAATAATAAATATAATAAAAAAAAATATACAGATTTATGGTGTTGAATACCATAGGTGCATTTTAGAATTAACGACTTTGTTCTACAGATAATTTTATTATTATAATGTTGACACATTCATTATTATTAAATTTCGGTTGAATACATGCTCAGCACGTTTGATGCGTTTAGTTAGTACGAAAGCTTATCAATCAGGGAATAAGTCACACTGTGTGATAAATCATAATAAAAAATTATAATAAAAACGTAAATTTACTGTAAACTTTAAGCTCAAGATCCTTTTTAACTTATAAATTAACTTATTTTTCAAATTTTGGGATTAAAACAGAATAGTAGAATAAGATTACTTAAAATGATTTTTTAAAATTGAAGATTTTACTAACTAACAAACTTTTATGAAAAAAATTTTTACTAATTTTGAGAATGCAATTATATGCAAATTTTATACTGAAAAGTTGGCTTAAAGACAAAAATAGGTTGTTTTTGTGGAAAAAAGGGTTGTTATAGATAAACTTTAAAATTTTAAGTTTTTCTATATAAATCTAGTTTTTCTACTAAGTTAATCTATTTTTGTCTTCTAAGTAAATTTGTTCAGCATAAAATTTACATACTTTAAATCTTGCCAAATTTTGGTTTTGAACTTTCTACTAAATAAAATACTAGCCTAAAGATACATAAAAAAATTTTATTTTTAAAAATAATTTTAACCAGTTTTTATTTAGTAAAAAGTTCAAAAAATGAAATTTGGCAAGATATTAAACATGTGAAATTATATTAAACATGCAAATTTTGTGCTGAAGTTAAGCTACCCGGGCTTTTTAAAAAAAAGTATTGTAAAACGTATAAAAATTGTTTATCCATTGTGTACTGATCTTTGACTCAGATGATTAATATAAAACCAAATAGCTGCGCGACGTCATCGCGCAAAACCAGGAACGAAATTTAACTAACTACGTACTTAATATTTGCTTAAATGCAGGAAAATAATTTCCTTTTTAAAAAAATTAGATTGTATATAAATATATAAATGCTTTATGCTTATTCATTTTAACCACAGTTCCTAAGTAATTAACCATTTCGACTTAATATATTCCGTCAGAATTGTCCAAGTCTGCAAATATACTGTGGTTATGCCGATTATAATTAGTTTTTTTTTAAATAAATGTTACTGAATGTTGAAAGTGTTGCATACCAACAGTATTTTGAGGATGATGCTACAATTCATAACGGTACAACATTATAACAGTATTGATGTCTCAAATCTCGATCTCAACTTGAATTCAATCTACCAAGAATATAATTATTATTGCCCAATCAGATGATAAATTACTTTATTAAAACACAATGAAAAGCATATGGGAATCTGTTCACTATCGTTACAGACTCTGCCTCTTATAATTAAAATATTACATCTCTAAAGAAAACAATGCTATTCGAACTAACCAGTATAAACCCACTCTTAACTATGTAGTCATTCATGAAGTGATAAAGATGCTGCTAGGTTCAGCAAAGGGTTCTTGCACTGCTGTTGCAGCTACAATGTTACTATATTCGCAGTGCCTAATTACCACCAAATGAGGTCCCTGCGCCGCTACTGCAACTGTGAAGCCTAACTACCACCAAGCAAGATCCTTACATTGCTACTTCAACCGCAGAGCTTGATGTTGCTTATCATTACCATTTAACCTATTAAACCAAGTGCCAATCATTACCTTAGCTGCCTGGTCACCAAAATGAGCGATAGTAAAGAGAAAATAGCTTCTCACTACTGAACAACAACTTTTAAATACACTGATTATCAAAACCGGTTTCTTTGTCACTTTGTTAACAATCTCTTCATTACAATTTTATTCTGGTAATGGACTAGAAAAGAACTAGAAATTCGCACATGAGATTACCATGCATATTCCCAAATTTAAACACAATTACAGTGCCTTTTAAAGAATCAGGAATCTAGAAAAATGCCAAGAGCCTATGATCTATTTATTGTTTACTATTGTATTTAAAAAATAAGAAATATTTCATCTCGAAAGAATTTACTTTCAAACGTCTTAACTTGGCAAAATTTATTTCAAACGTCTTAACGTGGTAGGATTTACTTTCCAAATGGCTTAGTTTAATAGGATTCATTTTTCAAACATCTTGACTTTGTAGGATTTACTTTTCAAAAAAAGATATACAATACTTATCAAGCGTCTTGAACATTTGTGTTCTCAAGCTAGCTGAAGTACCTAAGATTACCAACATTAAATTATTGACAATCATTGGCCTAAATTATACCCTAACTTCACATTAATTCTGACCTTATTCTAAGCCAGCTGCAATATCATGTAAGTGTTAGCCTAAGGCATTGCACAAACTATCAATTAGGTTCTTTCTAGAACATACCGATATCGCAGTTCTATGCTGAATATAGATACGAAAATCAGCGCCTAAACTATATGCACGTACGTACGTACTTGCATATGTATGCGTAGGCTGCTTAGCACTTGGTAAAAAAATTTTACTTTTATGATATACGGCAAATAAATATCGTATATTAGATGTTTTTAAATCTACAAAATTTTAATATAACCGTGAATAAATAATCTCAAATGTCTAATAGTATATTAATAAAATTTGATCAATTAGCTGATTTTATTTTTCAAAATAATTCAGTAAAAAAAGAAAAAAGCAAAAAATTTCTTCCAATCACCTGTATTCTTCTTCTACTATCCTGTATCCTTCTTCTACTATCCCATGTTCTTCTTCTACTATCCCATGTTCTTCCATCATTCGTCAACGCTCTTCTAGTAGTCAGCGTTGCTCTTCCAATTGTCTATCCTTTTTCCGAAGCCTTCTGTCCCCAATTCTTCTACATCCTAAAAGAAAAGATCAAAAAATTTCTTCCAATCTTCTGTATTCTTCTTATACTATCCCGTATTCTTCTACTACTATTCTATATTCTTTCTCTCCTATCTTATGTTCTTCTTCTACTGTCCTACGCCGTTTTTTCACTATCTTATGTTCTTCCATCATTTATCAATGTTATTCTTCTAGTAGTCAGTGTTGTTCTTTCAATTGTCTATACTTTTCACATAGTCTTCTGCATTCTAAAAGAAAAGAGTAAAGAATTTCTTCTAATCGCCTGTTTCCTTCTTCTACTATCCTGTATTCTTCTTCTACTATCCCATGTTCTTCTTCTACTATCCTATGTACATCCATTATTCGTCAACGTTCTTCTAGTAGTCAGCGTTCTTCCAATTGTTTATACTTTTTCCGAAGTCTTTCGTCCCCAATTCTTCTACGTACTAAAAGAAAAGAGCAAAACACTTTTTCCAATCCTCTGTATTCTTCTTATACTATCCCGTATTCTTCTTCTACTATCCTATGTTCTTCTTCTCCTATCGTATGTTCCTCTTCTACTATCTGATGTTGTTTCTTTACTATCTTATGCTCTTCCATCATTTGTCAAATTCGTCAACGTTCTTCTAATAGTTCTTCTAGTAGTCAGCGTTGTTTTTCAAATTGTCTATACTTTTACATAGTCTTCTGCATCCTAAAAGAAAAGAGCAAAAAAATTATTCTAATCACCTGTTTTCTTCTTCTACTATCCTGTTTTCTTTTTTTACTATCCTATGTTCTTCTTTTACTATCCTATGTTTTTTCATCATTCGTCAACATTCTTCTAGTAGTCAGCGTTCTTCTTCCAATTGTCTATACTTTTCCCATAGTCTTTTGTATCCTTTTTCTTGCCTGCATTTATATTCCTTTTTATATTACATTCACTCTTTCCCCAGTTATCTATATTCTTTTTTTAATTGTTCATATTTTCGATATAAGAAAGGAATGTATTATATGCACTGAAAATGTCGATATCATAGTCTTTATGAAAATTACAAATCAATGTAATCATGATCATAGAATTTGTTGTGAATGTATAGGAACATATATCAAGCACGAACTTGAAGATAATGGAAATCTTAGAATTTCATGCCCAGAAGATGGATGTACCGAAATATTAAATCAAAATGATGTAAAAAAATTTGCAAGTAGAGAATCATTTAGACGGTATATTTATTGGAATATATATATGCGAATTAATCGGATATGTATCATTTCACCGACAATCACTTCACTTACATCTTAGTTCATCGACAATTAATTCACCGACAATTAATTAACCGACAAGTTCATTTCACCGACAAGTTTTTTTTTTATAAATTACACTAACCTTAACTC